GAGAGAGAGACGAAGATCGGTGGCTCTCTCGGAGACGAACTTCGGTCTCTCCAGGGAGAACTCTTGGAACGTGGAACGGTGATCCAGCGCGCGAGTGGCAGGTACAGAGTGCACGGGGATTGCCATAGGCTGCCCGTGCAGTCACTTTACCGCGACACAGCCATAAACATCATTGAATATAGAGACCACCCACACGCCACACTTCTCGGAACCATTCGAACACTTTTACAACGACGATCGTCCCTCACGGTATCCCTTCTGTTTGAAGCCTGCGCCATTGCATAATAAATTTACATCCACGTGGGGCCTCAAGGATGTCCCAGGTGACTCCTGGCGATCGATCCAGTTGGCTATGGATCACCTCCTGGTTAGCTTGCTGACTTACTACGCGTCCTACGAAACTGCCACTAATGTACTTGGGACCGTCGATTTCACCCGGGCTGCTCTTGAGGCGGTGGACGTTGACGAATTCGCTGGTCGACTCCGTATCCTTTTCCTCTGACGTCACGAGTCTTCGTCAGGTGGAAGGATCAGGCGGAGGTGACTTCTTCCGAGTGGATCCATACGCGCGGGTTAAAAGGATCGCGATCCTTACTGTAGCGATATAGTGCACCTTGGGTATTACCGTTTCAGGATAGAAGAAAGGGTTACCAACCTTGGGAGAATCGATCGCGAGGAAAAAAAAATGTATTCGAAGCCGTACAGGAGGAACTGAGTCTTGGCGCTTATCCGCGTGCTTATTTTAAAGAATCGTATCGTTAACGTTCCAATTATGGCTACTACCTGAGTTACGACCTTATGTCCATTTTATAATCGGCTATTCACCCACCGCGTGCTTCCACAAGAAGCGCAGAGCGGATGTTTAGTACCACGTCACTTTTTTAATCAGTCCAACCCCAGCCAACCCCCCGGCTCCCTCGGGGCCGTTATTTATCAATCATCCGGCCAGACGACAGGTAAAACATTTCTGTTATACCTGCTAGCGCTGGATATTATTGATGATTGAGAACAGCTGATCGAATTCCACTCGTAATCATTGTCTGGTCTAAATGTTATTTTCGAAAACCACTCGAATTCTCAGAAGCCGGATGAAGAACCGGTATCTATTAGCTGTGCCGATATTACCTCTACGCTAAGTGCATACACACATAGAATACACACTGTAAGTATAGAATTCCATTTTTTTTTCTTTTTTTTTTTGTACAGAAAAAAAAAGAAAAATTTAGTCTCAGTACTCTCACTTCCCGTTTGCCAAGTAAATTTGCACTATTCTCAGTAATTGCTTAACCTCCTAGCACTTTACTCTAATGAGAGTAGTACCGGTCGATTTTGAAAATAAAAAAAATAAATAAACAAAAGAAAGTATAATCTGCGCCGTTGCTCAAACACGAGCACAGCAAGTACATAAATTTCCCAGAGGCTCGTAAAGTCCGTAAGAACTTGTGGCTTTCTTGGCTAATAACTCCAAGAGACAAAAACTCATCTCAATCTTAACAATGTACCCATCGGCATCCTCCGTCCCGGGCAACCAATCTCTCGTCTAATTGTAAATGGAAAACATTGAATAGTCAAAAGTCGCACGCGATCACACTCGATCAACCGGACGTTACGAGCCCTTGCCCAGGTACGGTACCCGCAGTGCCCCACGATACCATAGTACTTGGGAATAGTGAAATGACGGAACGCAGTACTGTGCCAGTAGTAATAATAAAGTGGTAGTGGTCGCGCGTCACGGTCCAACGGGCGGATCAACCGACCGTACGACCGTGTAGCTACTGGTCTCCGCCCACGCAAAATCCTATACCTACGTACACGTGACGCGTGCATATACACAAGGTACAAAATTTTTTTGAGGTTATCAACGAGTGAAATATCGATCGGTCATTTCGATCCAAGGTTCCATCGTGCGTCTCCAGAAATATTTCTGACGACACCGTTTCCGGTACAGTGGCGCGCACGTGTGCACTTTTCAGGCAACGTCGACCGAGGGAAAGTCCATGGATCGATTCCGCGTCTGCTGCTACTCGTAAGCGAATGATATACGTAACATACGAGCACGTGTCATTATAAGTTGTTGATGCACCGACTTGCTATTCCTCCCATTAAAGAGCGCCGTGAACCGCCTGGCAATGGGCCATTAGAAACAGTGGAAAGCGAGGCAGATCGCTTTGCTGGACTTCCCACCGTTCAGGAAGACATTGCGGGAAGCTCTTATAACATTGACGAAGGTACCTTTCGATAAAATCGTTCAAAGGGCACGTTGAATAATTTGGGAAAAAATATCTCTCGACCAATACTAAAATCCAAATTCAGTTTGACCGTAGTAATTAACGTCGTAAAATATAAATGCTAGTAAGAGATAACAATTTCATGTGAAAGTGGAAAATGAGCTTTGCTCCTCTTTCGCTGGACCATCGATGCCTATCTCAGTGTACCAGTACGCGTAGGTGTGACGGCTAAGAATCGAACATCGATCGTCGATCGTATATGAATTCCCTTGGCTAAAGTCAATACACCAGTTGACGATTTAAAGCATTTGCTATACATGTGCCTTTGGTCGAGTCAGTGAACCGGTGGCCCGCGTGCTTGTTTAGGAATCCGGTTTTCGAGGAGGCCCGGCGACGTCCGTGAGCGTAAGACCCAAGCGAAATATACCCACGAAGTTCTCAAGAAAATTTTCGGAAAACGTCGTCCTGGCCTATTACGTATCGCGGTATGCTATACGGCACAGTTTGTCTGCAGTATGAACCCACCTTTAAAGCATAATGATTACGTTGACCTCCACTAAATATTCTAATGAATGCAGAACCTCACGAGGATCGATGACCCCTCTTCGGTATTCGGTAAGAATTCTTTTCTTTGTACTCTCGTCGTAATCGCGTAAAAAAGGTAAAAAAAAAAAGGGGGTACCCTATAGATACTCATCCACCCAATGACCCAGAATTAAATCCCCAGTTTTCGTCTAGCTCCGTGATACCCAAAAAGCCTCGCGTGTCCTGCGAGTCAAAAGTAACGCGATTTGGTAGGTGTAGCCGTACACGGTTTCGCAAAGGACAGGAGAAGAGGATTAAAAAAAAAGAAGATGAACTCAATGGCTTCTTCCTTGTCGTAAGCGTCGTGCACGTACATGGCTTTAGCTCGCAAATGGGTGAAAAAATGACAGCAGTGAGTCAGGACGACATAGCGAGCCCACTGGGACGAGAGATGATGTAGGCAGACAATAGAATAGGAATACCCACAATGTTATACAGAGGAGACAGACCCTCGTATAATTTATGTGCATGCGATGTATGTAAGATTCGCCGATAAATATGTATGATTTCGGACATGTTATACAGTGCGAGAGTGAGAACTGTGATGCAGGGATCCTTAACGGATGCTGAGAACGTTGCGACACCACGAGGAGCTTTCCCTTGTCCGGGACTGATACGTATTCTCGGGCCAGAGTCGTTACTCATCGTGAACCGACTATAGATTTAGGTATACCTTCGGCATCCAACCTTCGGTTGATAATAATTCAACAGGAAATTCAACAGGTCATTTCTGTAGAAGACGAGTCGGTTCGATTCAGTTTCTTCCATCCGCGGGGTGACGTGTTTGCATTGACATTAACAAGCGCCATTATCACAGCTTGGCGAAGATGAGTTTGCCAGGTACGAGGGACCCGTCACTACCAGAGAGTCTTTTCGCTGAACAGGGTTCTGTTTGAACAGTTGACAGCTGACCCAGGTCTGACCCCCCCGTAGAGACCTTGCTAATTTCCACATCCTGGGAACGTCGACCAGTTTTCAAGATGGATTTCATGTGTATATATGTATACACGAGATATATATATAACAGGTGGAAATTCTAGTTTGACAATCGAGTCTTCCCAACGTAAGTACGTCAAATTGTCATCGTCGAATTGAATTTTCGCTGAAGCAGCTAAAAAATTGAAAATTATTTTTTTATACCTCCTTCGTCATTTCGTTTATCTGCCAGCGTGCTAACGCGAATATCCCGGATGCGGGAGGACGTCGTACCGGGTACAGGGAGGAAGTAAATCCGCTTTCGCTGAAGTCGGACTTGCGATCTGTAGGAAACTGCGAGAAACGTAATGAGGATTTACTAGGTGATTGAGGTAATTGGCGAAAGGGAAATTCAATTGTTTATATTCGGGATTTTTAAGAAACTTTCATAGACGCGCTTCGGGATGATCTTTCGACATCGTCGTCCGGGCTGGTCAAGTTGAATGGATTTATAATCCAAGGAGAGGCTACGGCTTCTACGGAACGGATGTGCCACGTAATCGGGCGCAATTTACAACTTTCTCAGATGCTCGAATTACGGGAGTGGTCGGTAGCTATACAATTGGATAGAAGTTCGGTAGAAATCGTCGTTGCAATAGAACTAGGAAACAATGGAACGAGGAAGTTGAGTCGAGTGACTCTAGACTATTGGACATTGTAAATATATCTGTTTCGACGTTCATTGCGACGACTTGAAAATTTCCAATCGTTCGATTATCCGCTTTTATTTGCCATCTATACAGCATCCGCTAAAATCTTCCAGCGATCGTCCGTGGAAAAGCGTTAAATAATTTTATAACGTCGGTTCTACGAGATAATAGATAACGGTAAGGGCTCTTTTTACCAAGAAGATTACCCAATTTCTCATCCATACGTACTACGTGTACGCGGAAGAGACACGTAACACGTAACCCAGGTAAAATCGTTAAGCGATCGTCGAGGCAGCAACTGTCCATTAAATGATTTGTAGGACGATGAGCGATAATCGTAAAGATTTGCAGTAATGAGAATATAAACCGTACCGAGGATGAGAAAAATCGAAGATCGATATACGAGTGGCTGGCCTTGGCCAATTTCAACCAAGCGAATGTAATTCCTGTGAATTTATGATTCCTGGAAAAGGTATAAAGATCGTACGGGTTAAGATTGGCCTGGCTCCCCGTTGCAGGGATGCATTGTTAGGTACTAACAATAAGACAAAGGACTACTTACGAGTTAGAGGTAGAGCGTGCCGACGCGCCGGGGCGCCACGACGGTAACGGCGAGACGCGGTCCGCACTTGGTCGGGGGTAGCGGTGCCGTCGTGTTTGTCGGTGGCGTTTCCGACCTCGGACAGCCAACGCCACTTCCGCCTCTCAATTCCCAGACCAGATTCGTCAGTGAGCGTGGTCTGCTCAGGCGGCGTGATCTTATGAAGAAAAAAAAGGTCACGTTATTAGGACAGAAGCGACTTGAATATTTAAATATAAAAGGTTACAACTTGTCGAGAAGTTAATTATGTAGTGACCTCTTTTCCGGAAGTTTAGCACCAGCCCCAGAATCCCCAGACGTGCGACCACCCGAATGACTCGAGTCCAGGGTACCGTCCAGCTCCATAGCTTGCTGAAGGTTGGTAAGGCTCTTGTAGCGAATGTTAAAGAGTGGTGAGCCACCCTTGTACCCGGGTGGCGTTTCCTTGAGCGGGGACGCACTCTTCTGCCTCATTAACGGACGACCCCTCTGGGTACCGCTGTTCTTTACGTAGAGCTTAGCCAGGGGTGGCTTCTCCACTCGTGGCATTGGCGTCTCCTTGACGGCACGTCGCGTCCTCTTCTCGGCTTGGATCTTCTTCGTAGGTATCGTCTCGATAGGCGGTGGCTCCGGTCTGTCGTCCAGGAGCGGCGCGATGGTCACAGTGACTGGGGTCAACGGGGGGCTACTGCCCGCGCTCTCGTATGGGGACCTCACGCTTTTCGGAAGCGGCGCAAATCCTCGCACGTAGTCGTAAATCTGATCTATCTCGTCGTAGTCTTCCGTGTACGAGGGTGGCACCCTGTTCTCGTCCTTATAGCTGTGACTGTGAGTGCTGTGACTGGTCTGATGATGATGATGATGGTGGTGATGGTGCCTATGATGGTTCGCACTGTCGGAGCTGGCAGACCTCCTGAGGAATCCGCCGCTTCTGCTCTGTCTTGGCTTGCTCTCGCCCAAGCGTCCGTCCAGGACATGGGCTCTGTCGGCAACGTCGGCCACGAGACGGGAGGCACGGTCGACGAGTCTAGTGAATTCCTGCATAGACCTCAGCACCTCCTCGTTCCTGGCTTTGACCAGCTTCAAGGGCGCCGCCAGTGGTAGCGCCACGGCCGCACCCTCTCTCTGTAGGGGTAGCGCGAACACGTGCTCCTCCTCGAACGTCGACAGGAGTCTCAGCTCCGGCAGGAAGTGCGACGAGGATTTCAACCCCCGAGGAGGCTGCCCGTGCACCAGTCTCACCGTCAACGGAAGTCTCTTGCTGAGCAGCGCCCTGGCCGTGTGAACTCCACTGATATTATCCTCCCGCGCCAGCGCGCTGAATCTGCCCCTCTGGTCGATCCCCAGGAGTACACTGTCACCGCGGCAATCGACGCACCGAAGGAATCTTCCCCGACCCTGTATCGTGACCTCGCCAGCCGTCGTGATGGTCTCGCCCGCTGCCAACGTCCTCGAACCCTCCGGCACGACCATCCCGGACTCCTCGACCTTGCAGGCGATGCCCCTGACGGTCTCCCTCACGAGAGCACCCTCCTCCGGACACCTACGGGACAGCTCGTTCACCGACTCTATACCCCTCACAGCCCTGCCCTCCTCGCTGAGTATCTCAAAGTATCCCGTGTACGAGTCGGGAATGGCCAGACGCGGTCCGACCCCCACGACCCGTCTGCCTTCCTTGATCTTCACAGCCTGGGCGACGATCTTCCGCCGCCTTCCTGCCGAGACGAGCAGGGCCGTACTCTGCAGACTGGGCGCCGGTAGCGTGGGCACGCCCAGGCCCCCATACTGGCCCTTGGTGATCTTAATGACCGCAGGTAAGCGGTACTTCGAGACGAACTCCCTGAGATACGTGGCCTCTTCGGCCCAGCGCGCTGCAGCCACCACGATCTGCCCGTCAGTGGCGGCCATCACCCGGCTTTGGCGGTGGCCCCTTTCTTCTGCTACTGCTCCTGCTGCTTTGACACTCCTCCGCTATGCCCCATCTGAAAGGATCGCAGGAGACAATTAAATACCGATCAATCTGGAGACACACTGTAGATCGCAGAGAAAATTACTTCATGCACCGCTCATAGTAGACCAATGTCTGTGTCGTGGACGTCGCCGTCACTCGGGCCCAGGTCGCGAATCATGGACACGCGGCTTACGGACCTAAGACCGGTTTACAAGGACTGGACTTACCGTTTACCAACGTCCACGACATGACCCGTAGTCTTTTGACAGGAGCAATTACCCGGCTCCTATTTTCAGCGAGCCAATTAAACCTACGCGGTCCTACGCGACGCGAGCGTCCTCGGACGTCGCGACGACAAAGTCGATCCGACGAGGATTCGACCAGTTCGTGGATCGGCAGTTGTCGCGACGACGTCATCGGCACGGGAATTTGTACGGAACCAGTTAGGATGATTTTTACACTATAAACGTGGTCTCTAGAAGCTCCTTAAGATGGTCCGTAGTCAGTTTCAGATAAGACAGGGGTGACCAATGACCCGGGGCGTCGTGACAGGCGCGCCTCTAGGAAGTCATTCGACACACTCCTCTCTTCTACGACTACTCTCTCTCACTCTCTCTCACTCTCTCTCACGTACACTCTCGCCATCCATTTCCCTACGTCCAATCACCATAGGTACCAGGATACTTATACTGGTACACGAATCCACCTATGTACTCCATGTGTATCCCATAGCCTGTGCCACGTCCACACGAGCGCAATTACCCTTCTGCTCTGTCCTGTCCCTCCTTTATTTATACGAGCTGTTACCGCGCTCGTCCGACTCGCCTGCAAATTGTCCCAGGTTACCTTTACCCGTCCGAACGATCCCGAAGACCCGTGGAAACGAGCCCAGCAAACGTCACTCCGATATCCAGACTGTTTATCGAAACTCCTAGACGCTGGTACCACTGCCGTGTATCCAGGGTGATACGGCTAACGGCGAATTACCCAGGGAATCGAGTCCTTACGTAAAGACGTAACAGCCTCTGCCGGGAAATAGTAATCGCGTTGGCCCAGAGTCGATGCTCCTTGAAGTTCGTAAAAATGAAATCGCCGCAATACGATATGACAGTGCACAAACGATCACGGAACATTCGAGCCGGAGCTGACAGCTTGACAGAGCAAAATTTTACGCGCCGCAATAACAGTTACTCGCGAGGGTTAGAGGCCGCTGGGGCATAGTTGAAGCGTGCACTTCCATTGGATAGCCGCCCGAAGGAACGGGTCCCCGTCTGCTGTTGCGAGTCCCGTAATGCCTGATGAAAAATTCAATTTGAACCTTCAGGTGGATACGCATTGGGTGGTCACTCGTTCGGTTGATGACTGGAGGAATTTCTGTATAGGGAAATTACGTGATAAAATCTTTCTCGAATTGGCTCACTAGGTTAGGATGTCAAACCTGCATCAGGATACTTTTACAGGTGTACCAATCTTCGGGGAAAAAAAAAAAAAACGAATGTCTAACGTTTCCCATTACCAACCGAACTTTGCAGATTGTGCACCGATCTCGGTACAAGTGAAGCATCATTGTTTTGGTTAATTCGAAAACGATTGTAGGAGCTAGCGAGAACGTCGAATGGCGCGAATCACTGAGCGTGCAGCAACGGTTAATGCCGTTCTTTGACGCTAAACGCGGATACTTTCATGTCCTGCGGGCACCGAGTCGCCCTCTTGTAAAAACGCCTTACGCTTTCGAGCAACCAAACTGCAATCGCAAGGTCTACAACAATGCTTCTTCGTAATGGCGATTCTCGTTCGGACAGAGAAAGGCTATTGCGCAACAATGATGATCTCCTTTGCGACCTAATCTCGAGCATATCCCGATATACGTAGTATTTCATACAAAAATTATGAACGAGCTACACAAAGAGTCAAATCAAAAATTTCATCCATACATTCAGAACCGAGTCTAGGTCCCAACTGGGCCAGTAAAGACCCAAGTGGGACCTTGATCCGGCCCCTTGATTTTCATAATAAAATTTTGGGCAGGGTCTGCCACGAGCCTGGTCCAGTTGGTCAATTTACTTCTATGACGACAAACGTATCGAACCGTGACGTCCAAAATATCGAGATAACATTTCTACCGTGTCGCATACCGGAATCGGATCGCAGATTGGGGTGGTTAAAAGTTGGGTAGCCACTTTGCATGGAGGTTAAGTCGATTAATTATACCGGAGAACAATGTTACCGACTTCTTGTCACTCGAGGCTCGCGGCATGCGTTGCGTATAAGGTGGCTTATCGAGATCCATATCTGGATCAAGGATCAACGACATCGATTCCCAAAGGTTAAACGGGAAGGTGTCCAAAAGGGAGAAAAAGTAACGAATGTAACGAAAGTACCACGTACCACGTTGAGAGGTGAAAGCAATCGACGTAATTCGGACATGCCGATAAATCAAATAGCATGGGATTCGTATTGCGTCATCGGTACCCACCCATTTGTCCTATCCAGGCCATATCGATATTGGGATCGGCAAGGATCGATACTTCCGTAGCCATTTTCTATTGTTCACTTGATCGCTTAACATCGAGACTCCTTGCCTAGATGAAATGATACCATCGACCCAGCCACCTGCTACGACAGATACAGATACGCGAAGATCCTTATGTTCCATATAGAAAGCGGGTTACCAAGATGGCGTATATATATATACAAAATATATTATCCATACACGTTATATCTATATACACATTGTGCCCTCCAATTTTTCATACAATTAGGATATAACAAATTAAGACATTGTAATCATCGACTGGCAGCTTCTCCGAGAAGCGCAGAAGCGACTCCGGCAGATTCCACTTGGTCATTAACCAATTACTTTGCTCCACTTAAGTCGAGGATCTTCGAGACGCCCGTCGCTGCCGGACCACGCGTTCCTACGAGAACCGCTCGACATTCTGCCCTTTTTCCAGCATCCCCCAACTCGCCTTACTTCGCTGCACCTTTTGCACCCGTAATAACTTCCTCGTGAACGAGCAAGAACGGCTCCATCCATCATCCACGAGGCGGATGGGGTTCTCAACTGTAACCGAGGTCCCTGTCGAATCTCCGACACGATAAGAAAGACCCAGACTGATGTCAAATGACAGTCACGACCTTTCTTGAGCATCCCAATAATTCAAACTTGCGCAATCGCAAATAAAACCCTTTTTCCACTCGTCTCTCTACACGTAAACGCCAGTACTGTACCTCGGGGCTCCATATCATTGCTCCTGTAGAGATAGGTATGTCGTACGCAGCTTCGTACAGTTACCGTTGTTACGGACGGTAAAATAATAATCGTCGGTAAGGTAGGAATCTACATTATTATTTTTCCTTGCTCGTTTTTCGACATTGAAACTAAAAAATTAATATCTATTACGCTCTAGTACTGGACACAGAGTGGAATGAGCACCGCTTAGTTGGTACGAGTACAAATTAATATTAAATTGAATTATAATGACAGTGTTTACCATGGCGAATCCCGAGCGCAGCATCCAGTCTGCAATGGATGGAGACTCTGCCAACCGCTCGCTCGTCATATTTTATGCAATGTATATTTACCGTAGGTCTGCCGGGTAGATGCCGAGTGCATTTCTCAAAAGTTCTTTTTTGCAAATTGATGGTTAAGCTTCTAATGGGACAAAGGAGAGACACTGCCGCTAGCTCGTTTTTTCGTATTAACGTAACAAACGTGGCTGGACCGAACGTGCTTGTTTTAAAAAAAAATTTAATTTGACAAGCAATTGAATGATTGCAAAAAGATTAAAAATTTTTTGGAATACACTCAAACGCGATATAATTTACAAATAACGCATCGCCGAGAAAGATATTCGTATTTGCTATAAATTCATTCTTTGGTTATCGAGAGACTCCGAGAAATATATGAATAACAATTTAAGACTTTTTAAGTAAATCTCATACTACGATTTTATTTATAAGAAGTCACTCGTGCGCGACAATTCCGCCTATCAGAGCCGTGTGGACGTGACCGCAAATTTGCTGCGTACAAGAATATACGAGACGTGCGTTGTCCGTATAACGAGAATTCGCAACATTTTCGTCCCTGCGAATTGTGAATTCGTGTTTATCGAAGAAATTGAATCACCGCCAAAAAATTGTTTCTCCTATGTTCGGACAAATTTTAACTAGCTAAATAATACTGTGATATATATATATATACATACGAAATCCAATTCATTTTATAGTACAAAATAGTATAAGAAAGCGAAAAGTATTCAATTCGTATTTATAACACAAACCTGTGCAACCGGTAAAGGAGGAACTCGCGTCTTTCTAATACAGCGTCTGTATCTCACCGCGCTCTTAATTACCACTAAACGCCCAAGAACGTGTACGGCCATAGCACTCGGATACATACGGAACACGCTCGCAATTGTTGCACGTCCTGGAATAAGTGTAAGCGTTAATGAGAATATAAAATTAGCCCGCGGCGAAAGCGGCGCAGCTGATAGAGAGAATTAGTGTAGACATACATAAGTGTATATATATAACAACTGAGCCATAAAAGTTCTCTATGGACACTTGGAGACCACCTTAATGATTTCGCTGTAATGAACACTAATTAAATATGTATTGATAACTGTGAACTAGGTCTTATTTCCTATTCAATTCCCGCATATGCATATATATGACTTGATAAATTCTAGCATCTCGGTGAATGGAGTTCTCGAAAGTGTCCATTAAATCGGTCGTATCGAACGTTTCTAACTGTCGCTCGTAAACGTACAGCAGCTGACTCTCACTCTCGCTGCCGATCGTCGACACTTACGGTCAGCCAATTGACTTTGGCATCGATACGACATTCTTTCATTCGACCGTCACATCATCTGGAAAGTTATCTTGCTAATTTTCGACATTTTACGTAAAACTGACTTGACACTAATTTTCGTGTATTTGCGATATCGTGAAATTTTTATCGGAACGAGAAATGAAAAATAAAAAAAAAATAATATACACATACATAAAGAGTAACGATTTTCAGGCCGA